AATTCCTCTAGATGCTTTACTCCTTATCTGTATTTCCCTCCTCTCACCATGCCCAACACTCTTCAGCTTATAATTGCCCACCTCATTCCAGGCATTTTTCCTGGTCTTGAATTTGGTGTAACTGAGCTAATACTTGATCTCCACCAAGACATTATTTGATAATGACAAGACACTGAATTGATAGACCCTCTGTAGTTTACATAGCATTTCTATATAAAGTATCTCCTTTGACCCTCACAACCACCTAAGGACACAGGTGGGGCAGAAAGTATTAATTCCATTTTATATAGATTACTAAATTGTAGCATAAGGAAACAAAGTGCCTGACCCAAATTCACAGTGATAGAGCTGGGACTAAAACATCATTATCTTTCAATACTGAACCCATTGTTCTGTGTATGTGTGTGTGTATGTGTGTGTGTATGCATGTGTGTTGCCATACCAATTTATACATTTAGAAAACAAGGCATGTGAACCATATTAATTTTATTACTTTATAAAAGAGGGCTCTAAGAAGATAGAACTTCCTTCTAGAACCAAAGAAATGAAGCTCTAATGATAATCAGGACAGCCCTTCTAGCATATTATGACTAGTTGTGGAGGGGCTTATTCCCTGTCCTTATACATACCAAAGATAGCTGCCTGCTTTTCTACCTCTTTCTATGAATAACTTGAGTAGGGGAACAGGGGTGTATGCATGTCTCTAATTATCAACTGCTTAAATAGGTGGGAGAGGGTCACATAGGTAAGAACTGCTTTAAAGCATCTCTTTTATGTTGCTAGAAAAATGACTCCTATGCTTGGGCAACAGTTGCGACCTTTATATCCAAAGAATAGCAAGGTATGCATTTTTAACCTCTACTTTTCAGGTTAGGAAGCTGACCTAATATAGGTTAGTTTAATTGCAGAGTCACTAGGATTAGTTTGTTGCAAAAAAATTATGGTAATTCCCTGTCCTGGAATTTCCTGTTTCAGATAAGTATCAGTGTATCTCAATCTTTGCATTTGAACATCTAGTCGCTGTCACCAGGGGAAAGGGAAACAGTATGGCTGTGGACTAGGACTTGGCTGCTTCATGCTATTCACTTCTCTTATCAACCTCTCAAAGGCATGAATTGTATTACAGGAGCACATTGAGGATAATATAGAAACTTCAAGGTGACAGGAAGAGAACAGTTGAGGTATAATTGAAAATTCCTCTAGAAAAGCCTGTAAGACAGATGAAAATGTGAAATCATCTAGCAACATTTGCCCCTGTGTATCAATCACTGCCAATCACTAATAAACTTTTCTAATAACTCAGGCTCACATTCCACATTTCTCGGGGGCAGAGGAGTGGGGATTTGTCTTGGGTATGCAGCACACCTGCAGGCAGGCCTCTTCTGGCATTTGCTTACAGGAAGGTCATTAAAAGGAAGTACAAATTAGGGCAGCTCCCCCAGCAGCAGCAATTAACCTTCAGGAACCTGGCAGGCATAGGTGTATTTTAGGACTGTAGAAACCATTAACCTTCTCATTATTTAAAGGAGAAAACCATAGGAGGAAAAACTGAGATCTCTTTCTCCATCTCTCTTTTCACTTGCCCCTTCTTCATCCCTGCTCTGAGCCATTCCCCTATGTCTTATTCATCCTATGTCTGTCTTTGAGATGTGTGGACTGCCCTACTCACTCTACAAACACTGTGTGGGGACAGTGGCAGTTGTAACCTGGCGCCTGTCTGAAAAGTCTCAGTGTGGGAAGCCATAGGAGAGTCCTTGCAGATGGCTAAGCAAGGTCTTCCCTGCTCTGGGTCACCCTGAGGGGTCCAGTCTAGGAGGACTTGGTGCTGGTCCTAACACATCCTGGCTGGTTCCATGTAGTGACAGGTGCCACTGACGCTTGTCACATATATAGCATCCCTGCAGGTGCCTCTTGAATGCCCATCCATCTCCTTGCCATCCTTCTCCCCCTGGCTCTCTGGAAAATAAGGAAGCCTGCCCTCTCTGCAGGGGAGAGCAAACAGTGAGTAGGCTCATCCGTCATTGCTCATGTCAGGTGCAAGCTGTGGATGAATGTTCAAAGACTGACACAGAACCGGTCAGAACTGACCTAACAGTGCCCCTTTACCCTGTTAGCTAGGGATTTCTGATTGGGAAGAAGATAATATCTACATGATTTAAAAATGTTAACATTCAAGAAATAGCATCTCATTTTAAATATCTGTTAATCCCGTGTCTATTAGCTGAGATAACTTACATTTGAATCATAATGTACAAAAAAGGGGAAATCTTTTGGGTTTAATTTCAGTTTCAATTGATGATGCTTTATTCTAGAAAAGCAATCATGAAGATAAAAGGAAAAGTATAGGGCAATAGTTCTTGAATCTCTTTTATCAAGTGTCATTGATGTGCATCCATTTAAGAGGGAAAGAAAAAAAACAACTTGTCTTATTAAAAAAAAACAAAAAACTAGTTGCTATTTTTGTAGTTATAAAAGAATCCCTAGGTTATTAGGCAACAATATGAAAATCTAATCTGGCAACATGTTTGTGATTGCCACAAGACGACACCTATGAAGAAATTCTAAGGAGACAACTGATTCAGGATTTGATGTGACTTCTGGCAAAGGGAAAAGATGCCAGGATTGCCCCAGCTTCTGAGGAAGCCTCTTTAATTTAAATGTGCATGCTGTGATGCAGCTGTGCTGATGAATGCATATTTATTGGACCTGGATAGGAGGCAAATGCGTAGCTAATTAAACTATCCTCGTGTCAGCTACTCTGGCCAATATCCCCTTTTTATAAAGCATCACTGCTTAAAATATATTTTGGAAGCAAAAAGGTACCACTCAGAACTGGTTTGGAAACAGTATCTGTGAAGGAATGCTAAGATAATTTTACTTAGATTAGAAAAAAAATAGTGTTTAGAGGTTCCTTTAATTTAGAGGTGACTTTATGAAAGTTTACTAAATGAAGAATGTTGATCAACTATTTTTGCCCTCTAGCTGAGACTATTTTCTTCTTATTTTGGGAGATAAAAAGGACCAATTTTTGTCTAGAAAAAGTATAGAACAGCATGTTAGCGCTCATCTAGGCCATCCAGCTGAAGCACTGGAGCACAGAGAAATGCCTGGGATCTGAACTAAGCATTTCTGTTTCCCAACGGAGAGTCCTTCCACTGCATTACTATTAGCCAACGAAGAGAGTTATAATGCCAATCTTTAAAAAAAATTAGAACTGTTTAACGAAGAAAAGTTCTTGAAATTTGTTTCTTTACAAAATCTGGACAAGCTGTACATGGCCCTGGCCAAGAAGGGAGCAGATAGATAGGACTGGATGGCCTCAGAATGTGGGGGTTATTATCGCCTATGCTTTGCAACACATTAAATGGTTCAACCCAGGCATTTATGTCATTCATACTGTGCACACTGGATTTCCATTATCTATTGACTGTATACCCATTGATAGATAGAGGTCGAGGAGAAAATTCAAGCTTTGGTGGTTTCTGAGGCAGAGCAATAAATAGCTCTTTTATTCTTTGCCCAGATTCTGAACAAATCAAGAAATACATCAGCAGTGAGTTAATAGAGTACTGAAAGATCTCCTTACTATGGATAAAATTCAAACAACATATCGCAGAATGCATTCAAATGGGCTGGTGGTGCTCACTCCTGGAATCCAATGGGCTTAGTCGCTAGCCACCAGCAACAGTGACTTATGGTGAAGGGGCCCATGGTGGGCAAGCCTTCTCCCTAGAGACAAGAGGAGGAGTATCACATTGTCTAATATGATAAGTAACTATTTGCTCCTCATGCCCTCAGCTCTGCTGGTGAAAAGAAAAGGATCTATAGGCTGGGAGAACTATCTGCCTCTTGGTTGGGGATGGGAAGAGAGGAAAGAGGAAGCATTTAGACTCATTGGAGAAGTGATACACAGTAAGAAAAAGAACTAACATCCACTTTCTGATGTTCAAATAAAGATTTTGCAGTTTTGACAAGTAAACCTGAATGTAAGTGAATGGGCTGGAGGAGAGAGAAAAAGTAAGAGAAAGGATTCTCTTTCTTTAGCATTGCAAGAGCCGAGCCCAAAACATTCATTTATCCACAATATTTATTGAATGCCAACTATGTATTAGAAACTATTCTAGGCAGTGAGAACACAGGCAGTAAATAAAATCTACAGATTAAATTCTAGCCTTGCTGAGTTTATATAGTCTAGCTGGGGCAGAGTTGAGATCCAGTGGGCCTGGCATGTCTGCACTGGCGAGGTAACTCAAAGCAGAGGCTGAGTGCTGGATGCATATGTCAATTCAACAATAAGGGTCAGGGTGAATTGGGGGTCACCACCAGGCTGCAATCAAGTCAGAATGGACCATACGTCAAGCACACCAGCTACTGACTTCAGGCATGAATGCACCCAGCTGAAAAAGAGACATGATAGCAGAGAACAGAGAGGTCAGGATCACTGCCAGATCTGAGGACTCCTTTAACCCGCTGCCATAAAGACCCAGTAAGCCTCTGCCCTCACCATACACCCAGGATATCATTTTGAGAAAAGAAGGGAGGAGGTGGTAAGATCTGAAAGCGGCTGAATTTCCAAAAGAGAATATTTAAACCCAATCCTGATGAAGAGTGAATTACCAGTGAACTGAATGTTTAAACTAAAGAAAGCTTTATATGGAAAGACTGAAATACTTTTATTTGGATTAAATTTAGTTCCCTTTTTTTTTTGTGATATCTGCCAGTATGGAGATCATGAGGACAAATAAAATGTCTATGGAGAATAAAAACTGCATCTTAAGTGACAGAGTGTAGCGTGGGTGATATCATGACCTTGCCATATGCTGTTACAGAAATAATGTCTCTGCTATGGACTGAATGTGTCCCCTCCAAAATTCATATGTTGGAGTCATAATCCCCAGTGTGATGATATTAGGAGGTGGGGCCTTTGGGAGGTTATTAGGTCATGAGGGTGGAGCCTTTATGAATGAAATTAGTTCCCTTATAAGGAGAGCCATGAGAGATCTTGCTTCCTCTCTCTGCTCTCTGCTATGTGAGGACACAAAAAGATGGCCATCTGCAAACCAGAAGGGTGTCTTTACCACCAATCCAACCATGCTGACACCCTGATCTCAGACTTCCAGCCTCCAGAACTGTGAGAAATTAACATTTGTTGTTTAAGTCACCCTGTCTATAGTATTTTGTTATGGCAGCCCAAGCAAATTAAGACAGTCACATAATTGGCAAAGTTACTTGGATAAGTCACTGTTGACCCTCATTCCCAGATGAATTTTGAGAAAAAGAGAGCCTTTTCCCTTTCTTTCTTTAAAGTTGGTGGTCTTTAGTAACTCCGTCTACCAGAGGGGGTGATTTGTCAATGAGTCTTACTGAATACTCTATCCTAAAGGTACAAGAAATAGTATTAATAGTATAGAAATGGTCCCAGGACATAGGATTTATTACACATTGGTTAAAGTACTGAAATTTGGGTTCCTTTATGGGGAAGTGAAGAGGTGACTTAATGGAAGAGAAATAGAGTGGCTAGGTTCATAGTGGGGCTGGACCAAGGACCAGCCATACATTTATGTTTGTTTTATTTAGTCCAATAGGCCTCTTTAATCTTTTTGTGATGTCTTCACTTCTCTTCCTGCCTATTACAACTGAGTCCACCCCTGATTTTATTACTCAAAAACTGCTTTTCCAAAATTTTAGCAAAGACTTCCAAATCCCAAGCTCAGTGACCTCTTCCGAGAACTCATTCGTCATCCTCACACATATTCTTTCTGGGGCTCACTGCTAAGATTCTGCTTCGATTCTGCTTCTTCAAGACACTGAAAGTGCAATGCTGGTTCTGGCTATCTTTCTGAAAATTCTTTGTTGGTCTCTGTAATGGGCTGAATTATGTTACCCGGAAATTCATATATTGAAGCCCCAACCCCCCGTATCTCAGAATGTGGCTGCATTTGGAGATAGGGTCTTTAAAGAAGAAATTAAATAAAAATTAGGTTATTAGGATGGGCCTTAATATAATATTACTGGTATCATTCTAAGAAGAGGAAATTAGGACATAGACATATGCATAGGGAAGACCAGGTGAAGACAGCCATCTACAAGCCAAAGACAGAGGCCTTAGAAGAAACCATCTGCTGACACCTTGATCTCACACTTGTAGCCTGCAGAACTGTGAGAAAATACATTTCTGTTGTAATCTTCCCAATTTGTGCTACTTTGTTATGGCAGTCCTAACAAACCTATACAGACTCCTTTATTTCACCTGCTCTTCTCATCCCCTAAATGTGGACATTTCCCAAAGTTCAGTTCCCACCTCAGTCTTCACGCTTAGCTCTGCTAATCTCATAGACTTCCACATATTTGATTGTCGTCTCCATGAAAATTATGCTCAGATTTAATAGATTGAGGTCTATGAAATGATCATTTTTGTAGGTTAAAAAAGGTTGATTATTGGCAGTTTCATATGGTTCAACCTAATACGCCTCTAATCAAAACTTTCTCTGAAGCTCCAAACCCTGCACATTCCCCTGTGTTTTATACAACTCCACAAGATTACACCACAGGTACCTCCCAAATATCACATCCAAAACAAAATTTATCAGCTTCTGAGGATTCAATCACAACCTGGGCTTTAAAAAAGATCCCCAGGTGATTCTTTTACAAATTAAAGTTTAAGGACTGCTTTAGAATATGGTGGCCTTGGGAATTTTTCTAACTTTCCAGAAAGATTCTATCAATTTATTTTTCCACTGACAGCAGGAGAGTATAAGAAAACCCAAATCACCATAGTGTCACCAGCAGAGTATCCCCTTAATTTTAAAAAGCTGCATTTTTGATAGGTGAAAAATTATATTTTAATAATGTTGATATTTATTCTTCTTGATTACCAATAAGCTTCTTTATTAATATTTGTCCATGAATTCTCCATTCATAGCTTTTGGTAGTTATTTTTTCTGATCTAATTATCTGAGTACTTTCCTAAATTTCATTATTATCCTTACCTTTGTTATTGCGATGTGTACAACTCCTAGGACCTTGTGTCAACCTGCTGTATCTGAGCTGAAGGGTTCTCAATATTCCTGACAGCCATGCTTTTATGTTATGTAGAATTTTAGAAATAAATTGTTTTCTTCCCAAATAGTTATAGTCAGCTACACAAGTCACAAGTCTTTGCTTAATTCATGAGCACAATTTGAGGAAGTTAATGGATAATGGTGATTTTATAGTGAGGGCTGCCATGCTTGATGTACAGTAGGAACTAGGGAAGTGATTCTGAATTGAGTTGCAGGGCAGAAAATATAACAAAGCATGGCCTCATTCAGTAGCCTCCTCTCTAAACCTACTAGCTGTAACACACACACACACACATGCACACACATACACACATATGCAGAATGCATCCGAGGAGCCAAGATGGATACTGAGACACTGATCACTAAAAAACCATTCCTCTTCTTATCATTCTGAATGATTAGTCTGTTGGTTGTGGGGATCTGGACAACCTGGGAGGTGGCTTGACAAGGTTACTTAGGTCAGAGCAGGATAACAAGCAGCAGAAGAAAGAGCTATACACTATTTCAGAAAATAAATAAACAGCCCTGATCATGCTTCTAAAAAGCTGGCAGCTTCACTTTGCAGTTGAGTAAGCTGTACTTGTCTTCCTTGTTTCTCTTTGTTTATGAGGATTTCTTAAGTCCTTGCTGGTTGATGGTGTAATTTGCTTAGCCAGACAAGCAGGTACTGTACACAATAAGTTCTTCTAAATAAAAGGGGTGATTAATCAAGGAAAATCAAACTGTGAGTCCTAGTACCACTCCTTCCTGGCGGGTCCCAGACTCCCAGCTTGTTTATTTAGTGTCACCTATAGTCTGTCATGGCTGACCTAAAACTATCAGGAACAGCCACAATGGCAGCCAAGCATAAACAAAAACCTGAACCGAAGGTGCAGAGGGACTGCCATTCTACAGATAAGATCTATTGCTGTAATAGCCCTTGATTATGAAGACCAAAGGAGAAAAAACACCAAATATACAGACACTTTTCTGTTTATTTATACATGAAGAAGGAGGGGGAAGCAAATCATTTACAAAAAGGAGGGAAAAAGGGGAATAAGGTTTCATTACATGTCAGTGTTTCTCAGTTTATAAAACAAGATTCTGTGTTAGCAGGGGGTTGCTTCTGGTCTCCTTTGTTTGTGTATTGACATTTTGCAATGCTTAAAAAAATCACATGCTGGGGCCAGAGATAGCAGAGAAAAAGAGGAATTGAGGTGGGGAAACGTACTAGACTATTGCCTAGGAAAGCATCTTTTTTCTCTTCCATATATCTATTCCAGCTGAGCAATACATTAGGGCAAAAATGAGTAATCTGTTGGGTGATCTTTCATACAAAACGATGTTATAGGATTATGCTTTTGAATGAACAGAATCCCTTAAATATTACAGATGTGCATTATGCATTTATAACATGCCAAGAATAGTCTTTGGTGAAATCCTCACTTCTCTGTTGGCCATGGTATTCTTTTTGTGCTGAAACCTTCAAATGCTTTCCATGAGATTATTTAATTTAATAAAGTTTAAGGGTTACTTGGAAAGGAGAGGGAGATACTTCCTGTTAGAGTGAGATGGATGTAGACATAGCTTCAGAACCAATCTGGTCACTGTCTCAAGATAGAAAGTGAAAAGATTACTTTTACCCTTAAAGAGGCCCACAAGTTCTGGGAAGCAATGGAAATGGATCTCTTCATTGTTGTTTGTAGGTGCTACACTGCTGTTGCTCATGTTCAAGGGGTCAAATTTATCCATTTAATGGAGAAGTGTGCTTGTCCTACTAGCATTCCAATTTATAAAATGTGTAAGAGGAAGGGCAAGATGCTTCCAATAGGATACTGGTATTGAGGAATACTGCTTTATTGTTCTCTGTTGGTCTATTACTGGGACAAATGGCTGCAAGGAGTTCTCCCCAATCTATTTTTTTGCAGCCCATGCAGCATTACATTTCACTCCAAAGAGTAAAGCTCTGCTGCTTTATCACATTCCAATGCTCAAAAGGGAAATTGCTGGTAAGGTACTTAACACTAAATGCATCCATTTTGGTATACTGACATTGCCTGGGACTACAGATAAATTTCAACAAATCACACTCATACTCTAAGGAATTGGGATCTCATTCGCTGAGGCACTGGTGGAAATAAAATGTTCTGCCCGTGGAGGGCACAAAATGAGGGTTGGTGTTATCAAGACACTGCACTGAAAAGGTGAAATGTTCTATCAGCTACTGTAAAAACCCCAACTGTGTTCACTTTGTATCACTGACTGGAAATTCATTTTCTTTTCCCTCTTGAATATTTTGTGGTAAAGAAAACATTTGGGAAAGGCTGGCACTGGAACTAACACAACATACGCAAATTGTCACATAAAGGTCATGGCTACTGGGACTAAGCTCAATGGTTAGTGCTAGACTAATATCAAACTTTACATGAATACTTCAGTCCATTTTCTGGAAGCTGTTCTAAATTCCTATTTCTAATTTAGCAGTTTTGTGATGATTTAGGATCCAAAGTCCTGAAGATGCTTCTGAAATACAACACTACTTTTTCTGTGCCTGCATGGAGCCTCGCATGATAATCTCTTTTTCTGGATTCCTTCCTGTTCTTTAAAATGTGGCTTCCACTCTACTCTAGAGGTATTATTTGTATATGGTGAGCATTTGTGAGGGGATAATTCTGTATGCAAGATTATTAACTATATTTAGGCCATTTTTGGTGAAATGCTGAATGGAACCAAGTCATTTATTATCATATGCATTGGTTATGTTCTAATTTTCCTTCTCTGTAAATTGTTTTTCTCATATAATTTTTAACTTGAGATATAGACCATAAAATACCATTTAGAAGCATACAATTCAGTGGTATTTAGTATATTTGCAAAGACATGTAACTCTTATCACCATCTAATTCCAGGACATATTCATCATATCCCTCAACAAATATTGTAGCCATTAATAGCCAATCCCCATTCTTCCCACTTTTCAGCCTCTGGAGAACACTAGTCTATTCTCTGTCTCTATGGATTTGCCTATTCTGGACAATTCATATAAATGGAATCATACTGTATGTGGCCTTTTGTGTCTGGCTTCTTTCAT